GAGGGAAGAGCGTCCCAAGGACGGCTGCTGCTGAGGAAGGGGGCCCATAAGACAGGACCCCTCATCTAGTTGTGGAATTTGTAGTGTGCCCAGAGGGATGGATGGGATTTCGTGGCAAACACAGGGGAGGGGAGGTGCAAGCATCAGTCACTGTGGCTTTGGACCGTGCATGAGGTGTGAGCTGTGGATCAGCGTTGGGTCCGTGGGATGAGAATCTTCCCCTATTTCTATTCATCCAGGTAGGAAGGCACGGCTGAAACCCCAGGGCAGGCCTGGGCCAAGGGAACTAGGATTGGTTTTAGGACAGAGAGGCAGGCCGGGAAAGCTATTTGTAGGACTGGGGTATCAGTGGAATTGGCGAAACTGGCTTAGCCGTGGCGTTGGCATGAACGGTGTCATTTAAGCGGAGACAGGATGGCACCACCCTCCAAATCTCTCCCCTCCAATGTCTGAAAGTCTTCACTCTGTTGAACTAATGAAAACCAGTAGCATTTTGAGATTCGCTGTTAATGCCGCCCCTTGTATGGCTTCGTAATATCAGCTTGTTTCTCTTCTGATCCCCAGCCAAGACCCGCAGTCCCGAGGGGGTGGGGCCTTGACCCCGGGAGGAGTCCCTGGGCTGAGCAGGGCGTCCTGCGGGCTTGGAGCAGGCGCAGGGGCTGGGTGCCTGGCCCAGTGAGAGTGCTTTTGCTGCGGTGTTCAGTGCGTCGTCCGCGCGGGGTCCCGGCCCCTCTGAGACGCCTTCTCTAACTCTTCCTTGTCATCCTTCAGCCCCCGACGCCCCCTACACCCACTGGAAGCAGACTGTCTTCTACTTGGAAGACTGCCTCACTGTCCGGAGGGGCGAGGAGATCTACGGGACCATATCCATGAAGCCAAACGCCAAAAACGTGGTGAGTGCTGAGGCAGCCTCTGTGAGGCCGGGGTCAGAGAGGAGGAGGGACCCCGGGGGCCGGCTTCCGGGGAGCTGCCAGGACCCGCTTGCCCCGGGGGGCGCCTGGCTGCCTTGTGCACAACCGGAAAAGCGGCAGGGGAAGCGGTAGGAAGGCGGGTTTGGATGTGATGGCCTGCTTCAAGGACTCCAGCCTGGACCCCGTAAGACTGGGGAACTGGAGCCTTTCTGTAGGACACCCCGGACACCCTCCCAGCCTTGAGGACAGCTTCCCGCCCTTGGTGGGAGGTGTTTTGAGAACAGAGGCTGTGGCCGTGGACTCTGCCTCATTTGGGACCAGCTGAGCCAGGAAAGAACAGTGTGTGGTGGCTTGGAAGACCAGGTTCGCATTCCTCAGGCTGGCCTGGGGGGCTGGAGGCCGTGTGATTCTTTCTGAGGCCCCTGGGGTGCGGGCACGTGCCGGGCAGGCGCGGAGGGTGCGCCGAGGCGAGGCTTCCGCCCTGGGAGACTCAACCGCCCCACTTCTCCCGGGAGGAAACATCTCTGTATTCTAACAGGAAGGGCTTGGGTTAGAAATCAAAGGCCTCCCCGTGAGGGTAACGAGGCACCGGAAGAGGCTCCCGAGGACTGTTGGTGGGGAGTGGAGCCCTGAGCTGGAAAACCCTAGCGGCGCAGATGCGCCCGGCCCTCTGCCTGCGGGGAGGGGGGCGGTCCCCGCCTCCTTCTGCGCTGATGCCCTGGCCCCTCCTTCTTTGCAGCGAGACCTCGATTTCACAGTAGACTTGGATTTTAAGGGACAGCTGTGCGAAACATCCGTATCTAATTACTACAAAATGCGTTAGCACACGTGGGAGGCTGCAGAGAGCGAGCGAGCACGGAAACTCACCTCCGTCTGAGGCGCCGTCACAAGGGACCCTGTTTGCAGGACTACACGCTCCAAACCGGGGTCTGACACACTGCCCTTGAGACTGGTGAACTCAGCCGGCCTCCTGAGGGCCCTGCCACTGGACAGAGGGCCTCCAGCTTCTCGGCTCTGCTCTGGGGGCCCTTCTCAGAGGCTCTGTCGTCCCGACAGAGAGGCACGGCCAGCGCGGCAGCCGGGCCCCGATGGAGGAGTCCACGCGTGTCCCCATCGTCCTCCTTAACCGTGACTCTCGGATCTCCAAGTTTTGCATGCTGCAGGCATCTAGGACAGATTTGCTTCACTAGACCCTGGAGACTAGCGTCTTTGATAGCATAAGCCGGACTCTGTGCGTGCGGCGGTGTGCGTGCGCATGCACGGACAGCATACCTATTAGTTCCTTTGCCCGGCACACTGGTATGTGCTTGCATATACAGCCAAGCGGTAACGTCTGTGTTCATCCAGGGCTGTGTGCGTGTGCGCGTGCGCGTGTGTAGAATATATGTTACTCTCAGAGGAGATTCTGTTGCTTTCGAATAGGAATTTGTTTTGTGATTAGTTCTCCCCCTTCCCCACCCCTTCCCAGCTATGAAATGTCCTCTGTACTAGCTCCGGTCTCCTTTTGACTAGACTGTGGCTCCGAACCCTGGACATAGGACCGTGCACTCCGTGGGCGCTCAATAAATGCACATGAGAGCGAAGCGATGGGGCGGCTATGTTCTCGGCGCTCTGGGCAGGGGGGCGGGAGGAGGTCAGAGGCCACAGTGGAACAGAAGATCCAATTGTGCCGCTCCCAAAAGGAAGGTAGCTCCTTGGTAAAGGGAGCCTTGAAGCTAGGACCAGTCCAAGGGCTTCTCCCTTGTGACCCTCAGGGGTGGAAGGAGAGCCCTGCAGCTGGGGCGGGGCGACATGAGTTAACCTCGAGTGCTCCAGAATGGGAGGTGAGGTGTAGCCCGGAGAGAGGCCAAGGTCGGGGCGGGAGAGGCTGCGAGGGTCGGGAGGAAGCAGGAGGTGGTGTGGGCTCACGGTCCTGGCTGCTAGTGTGAGACGAGGGCAGGGTCTGCGGGCGAGGCCGGTGGAGGCACGTGCCAGGGCGTGGTGGTGGACCGTCTCGTTCCTACTCTCCCTCACCCCGTTACTGGCTGCCTAGGTTGGGTGTCTGCCCTGGCCTGCACCCCCATCAATGGAACCGCCCCCCCTCCCCAGGTCTTGAACAGGGCACCCACAGAGCCCAAGTGAAAGAACTTGGGTCCTGGAGGTGACATCCTAGGTTCTACAGAAGCTCCCTTCCCCAGAGTGGTTGCTAAGTCTCCAGTTCCCAAAACGATTTCTGCCCTGCCACCTCTACCCCTTTAGACTCTGGTCCCATCGTGGAGAGGGCAGAGCCAGATGGGGGCCTGCCAGGTCAGCAGAGGCCTGGGATTCTTCGAAGGCCCAGAATGTTCCCTTCTTGGGAAGGAGCAGAAGGGGTGAGCTACTGCAGGGGCCTCAGGGAAGTGCCTGGTGACCCCTGATGCCCTCCCGGGCTGGAGAGAGCCCTGGGCAGGCAGAGCTGGTCCTCCAGCAGGGGTGCCTCATCCCTTTGTCTGCAAGTCACACACTGTGATTGCATTTGCCATCCGGCTGTGAGGGACAGGTGTGCCCTGGACCAGGCAGGGCCTCTGGAGTTCTTTACCTGTCCCTGTTCCCCACCTTGCTGCTCCAGGGCTCAACCGTGGCAGGAATGAGATCTCTGTGGTCAGGATGATCACTTGGTGAAAAGATGGGGCCTCACCCATGGGCAGGGACCAGACCAAGCTGCCTTGAGGATTCAGTTGCCGAGGAGCCTAAGGGCTGCCTCCTTGGTGTGGGAAGGAGCGAGCCAGGCTGGCCTGTGGGTGGGTGTCCTGGGAATGGCAGTGCCCAGGAAAATGACAACTGACTCCAGTGGCAGCGGCCCCTGCCCTTTCATTGCCCTCTGGCATCTGCGTACGTGTTGGCTTCCCCGAAGCCCTGGGAGTTGGGCACGGAGGCCCTGCCCACATTGGTAGCTGAGCCTCTGGGCCCCGGGGTGGGGGGAGGAGTGGGGTCCTGGGGGAGCTGGGCCCCCATCTCCACACCTACTCACGTGTCCTCTGCTGCCCTGCTCAGTCCTCTGCATCTCCGGCTGGGGAGGCCTCTCTTTGTAGCTAGAGACAAACACAGTGCAAATCGTGGAATGCTTTTGTCCACATGTTTTGGACAAGAAAAATAGAGAAACTTTATCGGGGAGAACAGTGAGTGCATTAAAAGAAGGAAGGGAGGGCATCCCTGGTGGCACAGTGGTTGAGAGTCCGCCTGCCGATGCAGGGGACACGGGTTCGTGCCCCGGTCCGGGAAGATCCCACATGCCACGGAGCGGCTGGGCCCGTGAGCCATGGATGCTGAGCCTGCGCGTCCGGAGCCTGTGCTCCGCAGCGGGAGAGGCCACAACGGTGAGAGGCCCACGTACCGCAAAATAAATAAATAAATAAATAAATAAATAAATCTTCCGATCTAGCCTGTGCTCCGCAGCGGGAGAGGCCACAACGGTGAGAGGCCCACGTACCGCAAAATAAATAAATAAATAAATAAATAAATAAATAAATAAATAAATAAATAAATAAATAAAAGAAGGAAGGGGGTTGAGGAAGGACGGGGGGTCCCCCAGAGAGCACGTGAGAGGAACCCCTTAGTGGGAGTCGGGGAGCCCCTGGATTCTGCCCATCCCTGGGAAGGGAGCCCATCCAGCTTTGGAGAATTCCATCCATGGTCCACAGGGCCAAATCCCACATGGCCACCAAGAGCCAGTAAGGTTGATGACCTTCCGGGAGCTCTGGGCATCTGGGAACTGCAGGCGTTCCTGACACCCCTGGGGGCCAGAAGGGGAGGCCCAGGCTGGGCAAAGGCCCGGCAGTATTCTGGGCCTTTCCAGCCAGAAGACGAGAAGCGGGCACCCCCGCGGCCTCTCCCGGGCCCCGGGTCTTCAGCACCTGCCACCCTGGCTCCTTGCTCTGCCCCTGGGCTGCAGGAGTGAAGTCTGGAGAATGTGGAGGGGCACCTCCCCCACGGCCCCCTCCGTCCTGCCCACGGGAGCGCTGCACTGGGACTGTCATCTCCCCTGATTCAGTGGGAAATAAGCAGTGTCTGCTCTGAGCACGTTCGCGATGGGATGAGGGCTCAGCTCAGCAACAGGGATGCTGCGGAGACCACTTCACTTGTGAAAACTGTTTTTCCTTGACTCTCTGCCTCTTTCTTTTTTCCATCCTTCCTTCCTTGACTGTACCCGACTCAGCAGCGACTTTCTCCGTGCCCCGCCCTCCTCCCTCTCTGGGGAATTTCTCCCTTCCATCCCACCCCACTTCTCCCCAGGCCTGCAGCCGCGGTGCCCCTTTCATGGTCTTATTTGGCCTGGATTGTTCGTGGGCCCCTCTGCGCTTGCTCTGAGGCCCACTGCAGGCTTGGACTTCCCCGCCGGGCCACAAGCTCCAAGGGCAGAGATCTGCCTCTTTCTGCCGGAGTTTCCCCTGGACAGATGGGGGTGCAGGCGGGAGGAACCAGGCAACAGTGGACCAGCTTGACTCCCGTGGAACGCGCCCTGGGACTACTCAAGGACCCGCAGGCTCCCGTCCCTGCGATCTGTGCCCCTCGGGGGATGCCGCCCCCCCTTTGCCCTCCCTGGTCCCCCCTCGGCAGCCCTCCTCTCCTCTGGGCACCACACCTGGTGCTGCACCGATAGGCCCAGCGTGGTTCCAGACCTCAGTAACGGAACGAAATTAAGCCAGACCTCTCAGCGCATCCCCATGCCTCAGGGTGGCCACCTGGTCAAGCGCCTGTCCCTGGCCTACTGGCCAGTTCAGATCCTTGGGCTTCTGCCCTGCCTCGTCTCCCATCTATATCTGTAAGTCCCAGGTCCCACATAGGACAGGAGCTCCGTCCTGTTTTCACAGACCCCGCTCTCGACTACTTGGAGGGTCTCCAGCCTGGTTTCTGGAGCCCTCTTCCTAAAGGCAGGTTTTTCTGGATCCCTGCTCCCTGCCTGGCGTCTTGAATGGCACCTCCCTGCATGCCTGGTTTCTGAGCACAGCCCCACCTGTGAGGCATCCTACCTTACACGCTTGGGCATGTGGATCCCAGACCCTTGGCCTGTGGTCCTGTGACCTCCGGGAGGAGTCTGGCTTCCCGGGGATGGGAGATCACCTCACACCTGTCTGACCACACTGGATGTGCCCGGCTCACGTCCAGAGACTCGGAGGCCGCTCTGCCCCCATCCTGTTGGAAACAGCCCATATTCAGCTGAGACTCGGACACAGCCTGCTCAGTGAGCAGAAATTCAGCCAACAAACATGTATTGGAAACGGCATGGGCTCTGGGCACTGGTAACAGAGCAGAGTCCGCAGCACCGTCCCTGCCCTTGGGGCTCCAGGTACGCACTGCAGGCTGGTCAGTCTCTGGGTGGGCGGGGCCTGCGCTTGCCCCAGAACTGAGAAGTGGGGTCCCTCAGCCGTCCTCCCTGACCACCCCACCTCTCCCCTGTCCCCTGCAGTCTTGGCCCCCTCAGCAGGGGACACAAGCTGTGTCCAGGTGGTGGTGGGGGGCCTGATCTGCTCTAGAGAGAGACCCTGCTGAATTGCCCTGCCCTCCGCAAACTGCCCACGGCGGCCCAGCCTGTCACTTCCAGAGAAGGCCTGGAGCCCTTCCTGTGCCCTAGTGATAGGTCATCTCTCACCGCAGAAGTGAAAAGGGTCTTTACCAACCTCTAGGCTGTAGCCAGTGACTTGGCCTCAAGAGAAGCCAGAGCACACAGGGCAGAGGAAACCCCTAGGGTGCTGGGTCAAGGACCCAGGCCCATGCGGTCCCCACCTCCTAAGGCAAGCGTCCATCCCTGGATGACTCTGCCACATGATGGAGGTTTGGAGCCAAAGGACCCGGTCGAACTCCAGC